GCAATTATTGTGAAAATTGTACTGAAACAGATTTTATACTTATAGATCAGGGCGGATCTGTTTTGAGATGGATGTGAGAGGGGCAAGCATTTTTTTCTGGATTACCTTCAGTACAACTCACATAATAAAAGTGTAGATCCCTAGATTTGGGCGAGGTCCGGAACATTTTCAAAATTGCAAAAATGTTTAAAAAATTCAAAAAAATACCTATTTTATCGGAGTTTTTTACTTATATCTTGGAACCTATGCATTTTGGAAAAATATTGAAGATGAAAAAAAATTTTAGAATTGAATTTTGTACAATATTTAAAAATATTTAAATTTTTGGTTAATTATTTTAAAATGTTTTAATTACTCCGAGGGCATTCTAATTTTGGTAAAAAAACTATATAGTATAATAAAACAACACACCAAATTTCATTAAAATCGGTTAGATAGTTTTCGCAAAATAATTTTTTGAAAAAATATTTGAAAATTTTTTTTCGAATTTTCAAAATTTTGCACAGCCTCAAATAATGCATCTAGATACTTGAAAATTTTTTCACATAGAAAAGACCGCTCAACCTTTCAAATGGATTTTGAAAAATTGAAATCGGTTGATTAGGACGGCCACAGTCAATTTTTAAAGTTAACACTCTTTTTTTATTTTTAAACAATTAGATTTATTTTTCAAAAATTATAATTTTAAAGGACTCGGAAAAACGCTTACTTTAAAAAAAAAGTTAAATTCCGTTTATTTGTTCTCGAGATATAAGCGGTCAAAGTTTATCGGCATTTACCGTTAATTTATAAACAATTTAGTAATAATCTTTGATCCAGTGGCTTCGTTTTTCCGAGTTTAAGCTGAAAAAAGTTGTCATATCCATAAGATATCGGCAACATAGATAAATCAGCGGAAAAGCTGTCGCCCGCATGCGCGAAAAGTGACTCAAAACACGAAAACTGGGGGAGGGGGGCTTTCCGAGTACTTTAAAATTATAATTTTTGAAAAATACTAAATTGTAAATTAATAAATGTAATCTAATTGTTTAAAAATAAAAGAAAAGGGTGTTAACTTTAAAAATTTACTGTGGCCGTCCTAATCAACCGAATTAAAATTTTCAAAAACCATTTGAAAGGTTGAGCGTCATTTTCTATGTGAAAAAATATTCAAGTATCTAGATGCTTTATTTGAGGCGTTGCAACAGTTTGAAAATTATAAAAATTTTTTTCAAACATATTTTCAAAAAATTATTTTGCGAAAACTATCTAACCGATTTTAATGAAATTTGGTGTGTTATTTTATTATAATATAAAGTTTTTTTTTACCAAAATTAGAATGCCCTTGGAGCACTTAAAACATTTTAACAAATTATTCAAAAAACTTTTTTGCCTTGTTCCATCAATTATTGCTATTTTGCAACATCGGTAATAAATTTAAACATTTTTAGCTTGCAGTATATTGTGCAAAATTCAATTCTAAAACTTTTTTCCATTCAATATTCTTCCAAACTGCATAGGTTCCAAGATATAATTAAAAAACTAAGATAAAATAGGTATTTTTTTAAATTTTTTAAACATTTTTGCAATTTTGAAAATGTTTCGGACCTCGCTCAGATTATGTGAGTTGTACTGAAGGTATTCCAGTAAAAATTAGCTTGCCCCCTCTTACATTCAAGAAGTGGGATATTTCGACAGACCCGCCCTGGTCTATTATCTAATAATAATATTTCACTTAATCAAAAGAGGATTAAGAAAAAACGTAATTAGAGTTGACGAAGTGTTTGGGTAATTAATATGTGAAAATGTTGGTGCTAACTATTACATAATCATTTATCGCTAATAATATTTTTAACTAAGGAAAAAAACTAATGCAAAATACAGTGCGGAACATCAAAATGGAATAAATTCAGTATATCAATTATTGTGAGTATTTATAAAAAATCCCGCGATACGTCGATTTTGGATTTTGAAATGACATAGTGCAATATAAAAATTTCATTTCTAAATTCAACCCTCTTTGAGTGGTAGTTGCAAGCCTTAAATTTTTAAATGGGAAGTAGAGTAGTACTTCATTTGAAAAGTCGTTCCATTTTCTATTAAAAAATGCTATGGTTTAAAAATTTTGGAGTTGCAAGGGGATTGAATTTAGGAATAAATTCAAAATTAACATGTGTCGGAAAATTTATAAATTGAGATACTGAATTTATTATATTTGGTTGTTCTGCACTGTATATGCGCAACATTGTGCCAAACTCAAACAAACCAAACAAACATTATAGTCCTCATTTTTGAGACACTAGGTGTTAAATTTGTCCAAATATCTTCTGAAAAGAGGAAACATTGAAATATATATATAAATAGCAGTGTACAAAATCTATATAAATAGCATTCATTGTTAAAAAGAAAGCTCGTTTCAAACCAGTGAAGTAGAAATGGGGTGTGCTAGTTACGATTACGCTAAAAATTATTATTTAAATAATTCTAAACTTATAAGTGTATCACATTTTGAAATTCCTGACTATGCTAGATCATTTTCGTCAACATAAAATTTGCATTTCAAAATAACGAGAAAAACATTTCTTTCCAGAGACATGCTTCTACGTCACTGGTTTTTGACTTCAGCCTGGATACCATTTTATTCACGTATTCGGCATAGTTATATTCTTTTCAAATTGAAATACAATATTTTTATGTCAAACTAAAAATCAATGATAGTTAATTTTACAGTTTTTTAACATTTATATAAATAAATCATGATTTTTTTACGTTGTACGAATAGTATTTATTTTAACTATTGTCACTATAAAGTAAACTGTCGTTATAGAAACATTGGTTAGCATTGTTAAAATACATATAGTTATTACTGGTGTATGTAGTAAATCCAAGATAAATACTAGATAAACTTTTTAAAAAATCATAATCCACAAGAAAATCAATTTTTGCAATTCGTAATGGAGGTAATAGAAACATTAATTTAATTTAGTCTAATTTGTAATAAAACATTGGCCCAGTGGTAATAGAAGTACTAATATTAGATATATAGTATCTGAAAAATTAATTATTTATAATGAAATATAACTTTCTAAAAAAATTAGATGTTTCCCAGCATTCAAAAATAGGAAAAGGACATAATAGCTATATTAATATTGTAAGATTATAAATTTGTTTCCATTAAACATTAATTTTTTAAACTATTTTGTTTTTCTCTTAGTTTAATATCAAACAGTCTGACTTGTTCTAAAAATATGTCGGTATTTGGAATTATTCTATAGAGGTAATAAATTAGTTTCTGCACTCCAAAGAAATCAAGATCAATATTCAATGAATATGAAGCGTATTGTTGGTTGCATATCCATTAACGGTTACAATGGAAAATATATATGACTTGTTGAAAATTATATATGTAAGCTATTTTGCAAAACCATATTTAAATGTGCAATTCAAATTCATAGAAAGATATTCTACTTACTTTAATGGTGGCAAATCCAAAGTATTTACACAAGTAAAGTAAATTAGAATACAAAGTACATAATAAAATCAAAACACATTAAAAATTAATATATATACCTACAAAATCTGTAAAATATAAAATATACAAAAAAAACATAGTTAAATATATAATTAAAAAAGAATAAAGTAGAAAAACAGATAAATTGTTGGGAAGAATTCTTGTGGGCTACAAAATACCTTATTCAACTCCTTTATCCTGTATTTTAAGTTTTTGCAATTTAAATCTTTAAATGTTTTTAATTCTATACCCAATAAAAACTAGCTATTAATAAGTAGAATTATTTCTGGTAAATTGATAATGAATCTCATTTCCCATATTATGAGGCCAAGAACTGATTATTGTGGTACTCTTGCGTTGACAATGAGACATGTAGTATTATTATCAATGATCTCTAATCTAACTCGTAATTAAAATATAAGATACCTACCTATACTGATAAGTAATACCTACCTACTATTCTGTATTTAATTCAAGATATAATATATTTAAAATATATTTATTAATCTACCTAAATATACCTGTATGTATACGATACTTTTGATTTATATACGTACAAATAAAACTAAATTATTTTTTTTAGAATGACATACAAGATGTAAATAAAAATTTGGCTACACTTTATTAGCGGTTTCTACATCATAAATTCACCAAAAAAACCTTCTTATAGACATGTTTCCGAAAATGTTTTATTTTCGAGGTACAGGGTGTTAAAGATTTCAAAAAAATTGTATTTATTTAAATTACAGGCAAACATGTAACGATTTTGTTAGTTTTTTGGTTATTCACAAATAAATCTATATTCCACAGAACTTTTACATATAGGGGCTTAGTTTTGCGGTGGACTTAGTAGCAATTCTGGCTTGTTATTATTTTGCCTCATGTTCTAAATTGGACTCACTATTATTGTAGAAAAGTGGAAGGCTTTCAGAAAAGGATTCTTGCTACATAATGGTAATGGTAAAATGTTTATGCTATGTATATTTAGGTAATTAGTAAAAATATCTTGATAAGTATTAAATTAATTTTTAATATTGCCAATAATAATTAAAGCAATTCGTCATACATGAATAAAATAAAATATTATTTATACGGTTTCCTTCATCTGTTTTTGAAATAAAACAGATATTTTCATCAATTTTGCTGATTCGGATATGACGTTTGTAGAACCTTTTTTAATTTGTGAAGTGCAATCGCTCATTAAAAGCAAATCAACTGTACAAAGAATATATTTGTCGACATCTGTTCAGTTTAGGTGAAAACGATAGACACCTAGAACAGATAACTATGGTAAGAGTAGTATGGCTTAAAATTCACTCCATAGATGGCAGTCCTAGTCCTGCAATGTTGCCAGTTTAATCCACTACATAGGTATTGTATTTTTTTTCCTTCTTGAATGTATGATAATTAAAATAATTGTTTTTACGTTCATACTGATTTTTACTTGCTTAATAAAATACCTACTAATTAATGACATGACAAAAATTGAGTTCAATACATGACAACGCCGCACAATAAACTTCGATCTTATGCCCATGATGTGTTTACCTATTTTTGTAAACAAGTAAAATAGAAGTACGTGTATAACCTGCAAGACTGTGCCGTACATCCTAAGTGTTAAACCCAAATTATCAGTGTGCCAAAGACAAATAAAAAATGTGGCTGCTATCAGTACCTAGAATTAATAGTTGGTTAACCTTTTCTTGTATAGTGGGGTTAGGGTTGTCCCTTTATGCTTATACGGTAGAACTGCAGTTGGAAATGGATGAAAAATATCAACCCATGTGCGATTTGAATCCTCATGTCAGCTGTTCGAAGGCTTTTTCTTCCGAGTAAGTACGAGTACAATAGATCATCACTTTATCCACACAATCCATACATCATACCCGAGATCATACCCTATTGTTACCGATTGTATAAAATTTTCTTCCAACATCCATTTTGTTTTTAATAAATGATCTTAGTTGTATAAGAGTTACGACCGCTCATTAATTATTAAACATAACATTTGTATTAAGATTTCGACACAGGTACATTATACATATTCTTGGATATATCGTAATATTGTTGGTTGCCTAATAGACGACTCTGGTGCAAGCCAATTTTTTTGAAAAATCATATTGCAATTGCAGATGTAGGTACTCTTTTCGTCTAGTGCGATAATGAAATCTGTGGGTTTCACTGAAACCGTTAGAATCACTTTTTCCCTGCTTATAGGTTATAATCATTTACCTACATATTGGCACTTATCCCTTTCTTACACCAGGGTCTGCAAATGTTGCAAGATGCACGAAAATATTTAATGCTAAATTTTTTTTATAAAACATCGGTATATATTTCCGTAGATTCCGTAGAAATTTTACGTAGATTTCAAAAATCGAAAAATATATAAGAAGTTGGTTCCATTTAAAAAATTTAAATTTGTACTGTAACCGGAAATATTGCGTACGCCACTGGATTTTCACAAAAAAAAACTCCATAGCAGACTATTACTAAAATCAAATATTTGCACAAACAAAAATTTTAATGTGGGGCATTATAAAAAGTGGTCGAAATTTAAAAAATGCCCTATATCTCTTAAACAAGTCAGTTGTTATTGGGCTTTCTCCAATCAACTTTCCTTCAAATCGCACTGGCGACATTTAAACCACTTCTATTTTTTCAGAGAATACGAAGAACGTGAAAAGAATTTAAAAAATTAATAAAATTAATATTTGTGCCAAAAGGAACAGTCAAGGATTATTTTTTGGCAACTAATTTTGCCTAACCAAAATTTCACACTGAAAAAAGCAAATAAATGAGAAATTAGATCACTATATCACAAAGATAATATAAAAAAGCGGAAATTGAGAAATAAAAAATTTGCTATCACGCTTGGAAAAACGGCTCCGCCAAAATACTGGAGAAGAAAAATAATATCATTAAGAGTAAAGTAAGAGAGACCGCGATGATTTTATTAAAAGATGAAAGATATGTGTGAAATGTGAAATTTTAGGTTGGACAAAACTTGTTTCATAAAAATACCTTTGACTGATCCTTTTGGACAAAAGTTTATTTTATTAAATCTTTTACAAATAGTAAAATACTCAAAGAAATAGAGAAAAATTAAAATGTTAGAATAAAATAACTTCAGACAATACAATAACCCCTCCCCCATTTCCCCAGAAAGTGTTGATTTGGCCTACACTGTACATGTATGTTTCAAAGATATATGCTCCAAAAGTAAACTAGAAAATATTAATACTAAGAAAGACATCAACGCTTCCATTGCAGCATTTTAAAATTTATTAAACTAATTGATTACTTTGTAGTTCATTTCCGATATTCCAATATCGATGATACACCTAAAATAGGAAAAATAAATAGTAATATTGCCTAGATAGGTTTTTGCCTAAGTATTAATCATCTCTCATTTTTCTTTATCATTTTATTATACTCTATTTTAATTTGGCTTCTTTAAAAGTGCGTACCCATTATATTTTTTTCAGATATGGAAAGGGATTTGGAATATTTGGGAAAGGCTCCGTACTTCATAAACCCAATAGTCTCTTTGGACTAATGTTCTACAGTATGATTGCCACTTTAGGTAAGTAATGAATAAATCTTGTTTAGGATCAAACAAAAAAAAACATTTCAATAACATTTAGTTTTGTCTATGGCTAAATATTTGTGTTTTTGCTTTAAGTATTTGTTTTAAAATATTTGTACACATGCAATAGACTTTAAGTCAGCGATGGCAGTCACTAAAAACGGACAAAATGAAAGTCATTCATAAGTGGTCAGTTACATTCGAAAATGACCATTGAAGTCAACATTTTATAATTGTCAGTAATAATTTTTCTTTCATAAATATTATCAAAGGTAATATTTCGTGTGAGAGTTATTTTAAATATTTTCAAATAAGGGATAAAAAGCTATGCGAAATGCAATTTTTGCAAAACCCGGTATATAGGACATGCAATCAGAATGAGAAGGCAGTTCTTATATTATAAAGTAAAAAAAAAATGTTTAATAATATGTAATTAAAAGAAACATAATCGAAAATTTGAAACTGAACGATGAATGTACAAAAACGACCACAAACGAACACATTCTTCGGTAAGTGACCTATTTTTAAATAACCGTCATTTAGCCAACAGTACTTTAAATTTTAATTGTTAATTGTTATTGTGTCTAAATTTTTGAGTCAACAGAACCATCCAGCAAATTGACTTATCATGTATTTAGAATTTTAAACGGAATTTTATTATAAAAAAAAAACAAAAAAGGGGCATAAAAAATCATAATAAAATACTTAATTATTATTTTTGGGATAATTCGTATATTTAAATACTACATGTAGGTATTCATAAAATAATTGTGTTATTTTTTTCGAGGATTGCGTACTATTGCAACAATTGTACCAAGACAATTAGAATCCGAACAATAGTAAAACCAGCTGTGCTAATCCTATCACTTTTACCGTAAGGATCTAATGACGTCAATAATTAATTGCTATCCAATGTTACACATCAATGTCTCAAGGAAAGGACATCTAATTTGCATTGATTTAAAGTTGTGACATATTTCGACGTCAAGTGTTGGCGATCCAAGTCCTGTTTCCCAACTTAATTTTCATATTATTTCTTATAATAGATATTTTTGCAACAAATACGTAAACAGTTTTTTAAAGAGCGACTACGAGATATATTACTATATGTATATTAAATTATAAGTAGGGCTGTCAGAATTGAGCCGCGGGACATAGGCGTACGCATTAAATATTAAAAAGCAACAAATTAAATTGTCTACAATGCACCACCATAAACACTAACGGATAGGAATTTATTACGCAACAGCGCACGATAACAAAGTATACTATACATATACTACTACTATAACTAATGTGATGTGAACGTGCATTCTGAGGCAGCGGCTTACGCATGTCTCGGTTGATCCACTTGGCACGCCATTGGATTGCGGTTCTCTCTGACAGCCTTACTTATAAGCTATTGGTATAATAGGCACTACACTAAAACGAAAACAAATCATTTTATCCTCCAGTGCCTAAAAAGGGATAAAACAGTAACATATTGCCACATAAGCGCACACCGAAAAGAAAACAAAATTTAAAAATACGCATCACTATATCATGCATTTTAATTGAAGATTCTTTCAAGAAGAGGATAAATACATTTCTTAAGTGATATTTCTGCAGATGGAGGTAAAAAATGCGTTTTCTTTGTCTGGTGCTAATATGTAATCTATGGTGTTGGCAGAAAATGAATTATGAAAAAAAAAATAGTTTATTCTCTGGAAGAATGGGACATGTTACGAGGTGTGGAAAGGAAATAACCGAACTTAATTTTTTTAATTTTTTTATTAATTTTATACATTATTGGTATTGTCTCCTTCAAAGTACTCCCCTCCCTATTGACAGCTTCATTTAAAATGGCCTTTAAAGTGTGTGACGAATTTGCTTTGCTGTCATAAATAGTTTGAAAACGCCGTCCTTTCAACAATAATGATTTTAAGTTCGGAAATAAGAAAAAATCGCAAGGAGCCAGGTCTGACGGGTAAGGAGGGTTGCAAAACTCCTTGGTAGTACACACGGTTCACTGTTTCACCTTGAGGCAAGAAATCAAAATGCACAATTTCATTGAAGTCAAAAACAACAGTGAAGGTCATTTTGTCATTGGACTGAGACTGACGTGGTTTATTGGAGCGTGGAGATCCTTTGCTAATCCATTGTAATGATTAAACTTTCGTTTTCCGTTGTGATCCTTTGAATGAATGTTTCATCATCAATGGATTATTCAAGGAATTGCCACGATTTTCTTTCCGTTGTTCGGTCATCAAAAGAGGAACAAATTTTGCTGCAACTCGATGCATGTTCAATTTTCCAATCAATTCATGGCATGACCCAACTGAGATGCTAACCTTTTCTGCAATTTCCTAGAGAGTTAGTCGGCAATTTGCACATACCAGATCTTTGACTTTCTGAACGTGGGAGTCATCACTTGAAGTCGCCATTCGTAACATTGCGTACGATCCAAATCATCATCTCCGTAAGCTCGTTTCAAAAGTTGCAACGTTTCCGTGAAAGTTTGCTCCAATTTCACGCAAAATTTTACGTTGCACCGTCGTTCTAGAAAATTTTCAAAAATCGTCACTAACACTTAAACACGTTGCGCTCAAATAATAATATCACGAAAACTAAATGAGATATCATCAGTCCAAGACCATGTGGTTACATAGGAGGTTATGCGCAACGCAACGCTGCCAACCGTGTATTACTAAATATCTCCATTACCGCTTAATTCAAAAGGTTCGGTTATTTTCTGAACAGACCCCGTACTATGTAGATATCTGAATTAAATTTATATTATATTCACGTCTCAGTCATTATATTATTGAATATTTTAACAATTTGTAAGACCTCGATGACTAGATGGCATCTAATACGACCGATGTCAGTGACAAATTAAAAATATCGACATTTTACCTTTACCTCGTACTAATGTGTAAAATATTTACTTTACAGGCTAGGGGAAAATGTATTGCATCTAATATATATTTTTTTCTTTTCAGCACAATCCAATTCCCGATATACAGTCCTCTTCTCCTTGGTGGCTATAGCACTCTCGAATATATTATCCCTGTATTTCGCATACATCCTCTACTTCATACTGTACGATCTGTGCATAGTTTGCGTGTCCATTTACGTCGTAAACGTGATCAACTTAATACTGATCCAGTTGAAAATCAAACTTCTAAGAACGATAGAGGAAAACGAAGAAGAGGAAGAAGAAAAGAAGAACAAGTGAACGCGTGGGGATGAACCAAACCAACTATTCTTATTGAGATTGTGACTGATTTATATATTTTTTAGATGTGACTTATCTTTTGTTACAAATTTACTGTTGCTGTTTATAGTGGAAGTATAAGAATAAATGTATATTTGATGTTTTTACCGGTAGTATATTTTTCCGTTATTTTTCACACCGATGTGTTAAAATATTTACTCAATAATAAAAATTAAAAAAAAAATTGCAGCTAGCGTCGTGATGGCTGGATCTCCATAGTTAAATTATAATGAAGGCGACTTAACAATTCGCTTTAATATGGTTGGATATTTATTTGCGTCAAGGAAAGGAGCGATTATGGTAAACAGGAGGGTAATGTATCCATTCACCTTGTTATACCTCATTTAATCCCTCCCCATCTGTTTAAATATTAAAATCTTGTCCTTCTTGATATGCATACTCATGCACGATGTTGTTTTTAGGTTATTTATACCTGGAAGAATTAAATTTTAATTCCTGTAGTAATTAAATTCTTAAATTCAAGTTGGTTTCTTGCAGTGGCGGCTGGTGTAAATTAAAGTGATAATATTTTGATAAAGCTTGGGATTTGTACCATTTTTAGGGTATTGAAAGGTCACAAAGAGAACTTTTGACGAACAAATTTCGGAAAAAGTTCGAAATTAAATTAGGGTTTACCGATCCTGTGATCTGGAGTTTTGTAAAACATTTTTTTCGTAATCAACTGATGGGTAGAAACAAATATATGAACGGGTTTTTAATTTTTTTCAAAATTTTAAATTTTCAAAGTTTGAAAAATTTAATGCTGGTATGAAATTAAAATTTATATAAGTATGTATAACTAAAAATGCCTATGTGCAATCCTTTTTTCAGGCTCGGCAACCCTTATTTAATTTATGTTGGCAATTTCGTTAGAATTAAAAAAACTGTGGGTCCCATACTTCTTTATCAAAATATGACCATTTTAACCTTTACCAGCCGCCACTGGCTTTTTGGCTCTTTTAATGAAATGCGACTATTTATGTAACAGGTTTATCTTTACGAGTGGGAATTTTCAACAGTCCCATTAGAAAAAAAAAGATAATTTACACCCGCATACATTGTATTTTCCATAAAAAATACAAATTTGTTATATTATAATCTAAACGGTGGCGGAACTTCAAAATTCCCTGTCCTCTCCCAGCAAAAATCAGTTCGGACTCCTTCCACAACTACCAATAGGGGTGATAGGGCGTTTGTATGCGCAATTTTTTGTCCAGCATTGAATCTAAGCGAGTTAAAAACAATATCTCTTCATTGCACTAGTTATATGTCCTTCAACTATAATACATTCAAAATAAAGAAAAAAAGCACATTTTTACATCGTATGTTTATTTTACGTTTCCTGAATTTTGCTCGCTTATCGAACATACAGAAATTCGCGTACGGTACTGTAAACATGATCACAGCCTATAGAATGCTTTTAGGAAACTGTTAACATACGCATTAATCACAATTACTGATTACACAGCCACACAAAAAAGAAAAGAAGTCATTTTTTTTTATATATTCAAATGTTTATTTATATGGTTAAGATCCCGCCGAACGTGAATTAGCGGTCAGAATTGATGGTTCTTTTTCTTACCTCAAAAAACGGGTCAATGAAGGTCAGATATCACGAATTTTCAAAAAATTCGCGCCAAATTTGGTATACGAGGGTTTTCGGCTGATCACAAATCACGAATTTTGCAAAATTCAAGATTACGGCCGCCTAAATTTTCAAAAAATAACACATTCGCGCCAAATTTGGTATATGGGAGTTTTCGAGGTCACTGATCACGAATCCGAGATCAGATTTACAAAATTCAACCCGTGAATAGATCTTTTACAGAAAAAAGAACAAGATATAGCCGAAAAAAAGTAAATTAACACATGATTGAGTACTCAGGTTATAAAGTAAAATATTATAAACTGAGATTCGCAATTCTGACCTCGAATAGGTAATCAGCGACCCCGAAACCCCCCGTATACCAAATTTGCTGCGATTCTGTTATTATTTGAAAATTTGGTCGGCCATTTTGGATCCGCCATATTGAATTTTGAAAAATTGACCTCGGATCCGTGATTTGCGATATCTGACTTTAATTGACCCGTTTCTTTGAGGTTAGAAAAAGAACCATTAATGCTGACGCGGATTCACGTTGGGTGGGGTCTTAACTATATAAATGAAAATTTGAATATAGAAAAAAATTTTTTTTATTTTTCCTAGCACTTTTTCATGAATTTTTGCTATCTTTTGCCTGTTTTTGTAGGTTAGGAAATTCTTGTGATGTGATAGCTCAATTCTGACACCGGATTCGTGATCAGGAGATAAAAATACTACAGATAACATAATATGTCGCATGAAAAGTACAGACTACTTTTCTTTTTTTGTGTGGCTGTGTTATCTTTACTTTGCTGGACAAAACAGGTAAGGTATATTTTCTGATGTTTACCTGTTCTCCGTGATCTTCTAATGCGAAAAATTAAAGGAAGTTGATCTAGTTCAGCGTTACGCTTCGTCACTTGGATGGATCTACTTGTTCTATCATTGTCTCACTAGAAGTGCGATTTCTTGTCTATAAAACGCTAGCTTTAAGTGATTACCTATCTCAAATTTCTAATAAGTACTAGAATAAGGGCTAATCATATAATATAATAATTAAGAGAGAGAAATTTCCATTACTATATTTTAATAGTATTAAAAATTTTACGGATTTCTAAAGCAATTCAATTCAATCCACATCAGTCTCATGATGAAAATGCGCCGGTTCCAAATATAATAAATAAAGTCTGATTGTTTTAAAAAGAACATATTTCCATAAAATACAAATGGAGTATTTACGAGCTTTACAAAATTTATAGTTATAACGAGCGTTCAAATAAAAACGTGGTCGAAGTTGGCTCTGACACATTGGACGTAGGGCGTAGCTTATAGCGACCAACTTAACCTCATTTCTCAACGAGCTGTATAGCAGCTGTCAGTTTCAATAACAAAGCTGCGATACAGCGCTTTGACAGATGACGTTTAAGTTCATTTGCTATACGCTACGCCCTACGTCCAAATTTTCAGAACCAACTTGACCACGTTTTTATTTGAACGCTCGTGAAGTGAAGTAAAATGCCAAAAGAGAAAAGAAATAGACGAGAATTATTTCAAACGTAGTTTGACAGTGATCCCGAAGGTTATAGAGATATGGAGAAGGCCTGTTTTGGACTCTGTATTTTTGTAGGAAGTTACAGACGCCTTTCTTTCAAGCAATATTCGATTAAACAAACTAGAGAACCCCAAGCCATACGTTTTTAGAAAAATATATGAACCGAAAAATCCCTCATGAATGTACGGTAAAACTAAGATATGTCGATTGGGTTTACAACAATGTAGTGACATCAATACGCGAAGACATTGGGGACAATTTCTTTTATTTCACTATACACGAAGCTACTGATGCTTGTGGGCGTTCAGTAGCCAATTTTTTAATTGGTCTGTTGTCGACAGTAGACGTTGAACGATCATTTTCTCTACACAAGTTAATATTAAGTGATAAACGTCGCCGTTTCACTATAGAATACTTAACAAAGCACGTAGTAATATGTTTTAACTCCTTCCAATATGCCACGGAAGCCTTGTCTCACACTAAGGTTTATCGGGTAGGTGGTGTCATTTAAATTTTATCCTCTACTTATCCTTGCTCTTTGGTAATAGTACTATTTGCGACATATTTTCTGTAAACATCAACAAAAACAACATTTTCATTCGTAATCTGACTACGGTCCTGTTAAACTCCGCGCCGCACTAAGCCTATTTATTACATTACTGTATAATCGTCATTTTTTTAAATGGAAGCTTGCGCGGGCCTAATACGAAAGATATAAAAAATAATTAAAAATTATTTACTTTTTTATGTGTAAAATATTTACCTACGCACTATTGAGGAAATGTTAGGTTTTATATAAATTCTGTAGCAGGAAATTAAATCTGAAAATCATACTAACAATATTACTACGAGTGGTACAAAGAAAAAAACCCATGTTTTATAGTTTTCCAATAAAACAAAGAGTCATTTATTTATTATTGCTTAAGAATTTGTGTCGTGTCTATATTGTAACACATAAATAAAATTGAAGGAAGTGCGCATAAATAGTGTTTTACGGACCATAAAACTAAAAATGTCGCCTTTTTGCGCCAGTTAGCGCGTGTGGAATTAATTATCTTTAATAATCTCTACGGCCTCTAAAATAAGAATTTGCATTTCTGGAGGATGTAAGAATTTATTTCGTTATATGCACGGTAAATATATGAAATGATGTTTTTATTATTTTGTAATTGTAAATAACTATTGCATATAAAAAATGCAAAAATTTTTTATTTTTTGAAAAGGCAGTGTCAAAAGTATTGAAAATATGACTAGATTAATGTGAATTATTTTTTATTTTCCATTTTTTTCCTTTTTAAAAATTATGTAGGGTATACGTTCGGAGGAATCATAAATAAAGAAGCTCATAGAGCATTAAAAATATAGATTCTTTCCTATGGAATATCGCGTTTTGTTTTAGAAATGCAGGACGTCAAATAGGTTTTAAGATACAATTTTAGCAGTATCTCTTCCAAAAAAATAAAAAGAAAAAAAATAACAGAATGCATTAAAATTTGGTATAGATAAATTTTTAAGGGCACTAAATACGTCAGCCTTGTTAGTTTTTGACTGCCTACTAAATGTCCCTAATTACGGCCTTCTCCATGACATTTTATTATAGAACTTTTTTGAGGTTAAGCTCTTTATGGTGTATTCTTACATACTAAACACTTATTTTGCATAAAAATGGTACTCGTGTTGAAACGGCTGGAAATGTATGTTTTTTTAAATGCAGTTGATTGTCTCAAGTCAAGCCAACCAGTTTATATTCTTTAATACCGACATATACAGTGTCTTTATATCTAGATTTTATAGTTTTAAGTGTTTATTTGAAAGCTATAGGAAAAGTGGACATGTTTCTTTATGCGCTATGTATTCAGGTATTTATGAAATCAAATTTCAGCGACCCTTATCACTTAATTTTTTAAATACAAAATCAATACTTTCCAATGATATTTTGGAATATCCAGATATTTATGAATAAAATTGTTTAT